AACGTGTTTCCATTTTCTGATCGCACCTGAGTGATGCAACAGAGTTGGCGTTCAACATGAAATAGTGCTATTATAAAATATCATTTCCCTCTCCCGTAAAAATGCTGTGTTTTGGGAACTTGGTCCTGCTCTGCGCAGGGCCGATGCTCTCCTACCCACCGCTTACCCTCATGCTCTAGGCTGGACCCCTCAGTGCAGATGTGAGTCTGCAGAGAGACAAGCCCGGAGCTCCCGGAATGGGTTAGGAGTCCTATCTCACGCATTTAGAGAGTACCTCACTTTACACATGTAAGTTACCTACGCCGCTTGTGACTACTCACTAAAGGGCACGGGCTCTGTTAGATTCTAAGGGGTCGGCTCACGCTTTCTGTAAAGGGCCAGATGTGAGTATTCTAGGGTCTGCCAGGTGTCGGGGTGTCTCACACCTGCTCAGCCCACCTGAACCTGGGAGGCAGCTGCAGCAACATGATGACCAGCGAGTGGGCCACATTCCAATAAAACTTTATTCACAAAACAGGCCCTTGGCTGGCCCTTGCTGGCCAGCCTCTGGACTGAAAGCTCCATTCTCTGGTGTTAATTTCCCTGCATTTGGGCACCAGAACAGCATGTGATGTTTCCTACATACTTCCCGAATAAACGAGCTGTTATTATTGATGATTAAATATAACTTAAGCAAGAACACGTTCCCCAAGCTGTGAAGCCCACAGACAGCAGTCGGGGTCTACAGGACTTTTCTCTCAGACACTCTTCACCCTTTCTGTCTTCTCCATCTCATCAGATGCCCCCACAGTTCACCCTCTCTCCTCTCCAGCTCATCAGACACCCCACGGTTCACCCTCTCTCCTCTCCATCCCATCAGATGCCCCCATAGTTCACCCCTCTCTCCTCTCCATCCCAGAAGGTGCCCCCACAGATCACCCTCTCTCCTCCCCATCCCATCAGACGCCACACAGTTCACCCTCTCTCCTCTCTATCCCATCAGACACCTCCACAGTTCACCTCTCTCTCCTCTCCATCTCATGACACCCCACAGTTCACCCTCTCTCCTCCCCATCCCATCAGACGCCACACAGTTCACCCTCTCTCCTCTCTATCCCATCAGACACCTCCATAGTTCACCCCTCTCTCCTCTCCATCTCATGACACCCCACAGTTCACCCTCTCTCCTCTCCATCCCATCAGACACCCCACAGTTCACCCTCTCTCCTCTCCATCCCATCAGACACCTCCACAGTTCACCCTCTCTCCTCTCCATCCCAGCAGACGCCTCCACAGCCAGCCTCTTGGGCATTACGGCGTCTGCACCCGTACTGTGGTGAACATGTGAAATCCAACTGAGCCTTCTCCAAGCTCAGGTGGGAATGGTCAATTCAGAAATCAATTCTAAAACTAAGATAAATGAGGAAATGGATTAGGAGAACATGTTTGGATATGAATATTCACCCGCTACACATTAAAAATGCAGATATTTAAATATGCCCAGATGGAAAGGACCCCAGGAGTGAACGTTACGAAAGGGCTGTGCGTAATGGAGCAGGATGCAGAGGCGAAATCACAGTGCCAGCCACAGTCATGGGTGGTGCTGGGAGTTCACGTGGGTGAAACCCAAGTCGTTCCTAGCACAGTTAACATGACTCTGGAGGCCAGGAGAATGAAGACAGCACATGAATGTGTACGTGCCTCCTCGGTCTTGTCTTTCCTGTTTCATCTGAGGTCCCTGTGATGTGCTTCTGACATCTCCACTGTTAAAATCCTTCAAGGAAATTTTGTCCACACTCACTACAACTTAGTGCCCTTGTTTCCTGGAAACACAGGGTTACAGAGTGGCAACTATGGGAGTTCTCCCAGTCCTGGCCGTTTTCTTCCTTTTTCTCCTCTCCCCATAGTATCTACTCTGGCCTCAGCCACTGCCCTCCACAGAGCAGTGTCATGGGGTGAAGGCCACGGGGCTTGGGGCTGAGTTACTTTCAGCTGAGAGCCTTGGTGGCTTGTGCAGCCTCCAGCACCTCACCTCCCTGAGCCATGTTTCTGTACACAAAACAGGCATCATCAGAGCTTCCCTGAGTTCCGTAGCTGCAGCAATGCCATTGAAAATGGGTAAATGAATTACACTGGAATCCATAAAACGTAAAGGAATATAAGATAAACTAAGGTGCTAATAGTCAATAGCAAAAATGTGGTGATACCTCCTGGTAACATAATTTTTTTTGCAGAAATTTTCATTACATTAACCCCAAAGAGTGACCCACGGGAGTTTCGGGGACTTTCAGGTTAGTTCCCGGCAGGCAGGGCATTGTCTAGACCCATCACACAGCTGCTGTCTGCGTTTTGTCATCCACACCACGGTGTCAGATTTAAGGAAAAAGAATGATTGGGGCACGCATAAATTGAGTTTGGCAGAATGCCTGACATTTGTTGGACTGATCAATGAAGCAATAAATCCTGCATAAATGGAAGAATGGACCCAACTGTTGCACTATCTCTGCTGAGTGGACAGCGGCACGGGGGCCACGGGCAGAGACGGACCTGTGTCTGCCGAGTGGACGGCGGCACGGGGGCCACGGGCAGAGACGGACCTGCGTCTGCCGAGTGGACGGCGGCACGGGGGCCACGGGCAGAGACGGACCTGGATCTGCCGAGTGGACGGCGTCACAGGGGCCACGGGCAGAGACGGACCTGTGTCTGCCGAGCGGACGGCGGCACGGGGGCCACGGGCAGAGACGGACCTGCGTCTGCCGAGTGGATGGCGGCACGGGGGCCACGGGCAGAGATGGATTTGTTTTTAGAACAGGAGTAACTTAGGCAGCACGTCTCACCCGTTTTCCTCACATCTGATCAGATTTGAGGCTGTGGAATGCTTTCCGGTCAGGTGTTAAGGGTTGTTGGTGGGTGAACTCCCAGAGGGTTTTGCACTTGGGTCTGGCCAGTGTTTAGGTGATGCTGTCAGGGGGCCTCGGGCTCATATCCCTTCGAAAATCCCTGGCTTTTCGAAGAGTTTCAACTACATTTGGTGATGGTGTGAGTTTTGCAAATGTAAAGTTCTGGGAGCGTCCTCTGAACGTCGTTAGCACTGGAGCCTCGTACAGGACTCTGGGGCAGTCCCTGATGTGAAGAAAGGAAGGAGACACCGTCTCTGCCACTGAAGAATGAGGTGATAACGATCATGGGGGACCCGCAGCAGTGATGGTGAATGAGTGGGAGAAGGAACCCATTAACATGAAAATGCCTTTCATAACTCTTAAAATTACGAAATAATTCTTAAAATTCTTAGTCCCTGCCCATGGTCTAAAAAAGTCTTTTTTTTTTTTTTTCTTTTTTTCACGTTTTGCTTTCAAATGCATAGAATCATGAAGTGAATCACAAACGTTTAAAGTGTGAAGTTATCAATGGCTGTTTAGCTGGGGGTCCAAAACCCCAGGACTGAGGCTGGCCTGGCAGCCCTGGACCCACGAAGCATAGCTTCTGCATGTGTGTGCTTTTCCCCTGGAAGAGGTCTCAGATAATTCATAATTCCCCTAATGTCTTTAAGTGCCCCAAATAAAAGGTGGGTGAGAGCCGACACCCAGTCCAATCCCTCACTTTCCTGCACTTTCCTGTTGGAGCAGATGGGTCAGACAACTTGGCTCTGCTCCCAGCTCCATCCAGCTCCCCAGCCCCTTCCCGGTAATCATGTTTCCTGGCTGTTTCCTGGCTTACAAACACCTCCTCCCCATCTCCTTCCAACAAGTCTAAGAGCTTCCCCAGGGTAAGACTTTGGCTTTGTTCTCAGCCACTCGTCCCACAAGCTGGCACCGACCACCCTCTGTGGAAGAAGAGGAGATGGATGGGCCTGGGCTGGGCAGACATAGGGCCTGGTCTCAGGGCATGTCTTGTCTGTCATTCCGACACTACAGCGCTTGAATTTAGTTGAACTAGGCAATAATGATAGAGTTCGGATTTGTTAAGTTCTAATTTGTAAGATTTGGTTGCAATTTAAAAGTTCACTTTTTCATCTTGTAAGCCAACAGTGATGAACACCTGGAAACATTGGAAGAGGTCACATGGTCACTGGTTCATCGCTGGGTGCACCTGGCGTGGAGAGAGACGATACAGGGAGGGCCCTGCGGCTCGGGGCTCTGTGTCTGACATGTGGGTATGATTAATATCTCTTATGTGGCACTGGCCAAGGCTGAGAAGCAGTTCTGCCCTGGCTGTCCACTTGCCCAGGACCACACAGCCGGCTGCGGGAGGCGGCGGGGGGTGGGGGGCTTCCAGGCAGTTCTTGGCATTAGCTCCCAAACTAACCTGTGGGACTAGCCGGCCGCAGGAGGCAGTTCTTGGCATTACCACCCGGACTAACCTGTAGGACTCAAGATTCACAGCAGCTGGCTGTTGGGAGTAACAGTCATATTTTCATGGTTCGTAGGAACTGCTGATTTCCCAAAGAGTTTTATCTGTCTATATTTTCAAAATTAAATTTATTAATAAATTTTGGGCAAATATGTTAAGTGTAGGGTTTTATCTTTATAAAGCTAGTCTACTTCCTCCCTCCTCTACAAAAAATGTGTTGCCTAGAAATGCACTTACAAAGTTATAGACAACGACAAAATTCCCTGTTAACGATTTTTACTCACAAAGACATTCAAACACACACCTGTATGCACACATTCATACAAACAGAGACGTGTGCTTGTCCTGAGGATAATTTGAATGATCAGAAAGATACAACAGATCACATTGGCTTTAAAATTTGAAATGGAAGTTGCCCAAGCATACTTCCTTAATTACTATGTGATTAATAAATAGCCAAAGCTCTGGTTGTTCTAAACCAAACCAAACCAAACCAAACCAAACCAACCAAACAAAAAAACTTGAAAATTGATGGCCATGGTGTCTACTATTTCCAGCTTGGGAATTTGGTTTAAATGGATGGCACTGAGCTCACGGCGAAGGGGTTTTGCAGAGGGAGCCTGCGGACAGTGGGAAGCGCTTGGAGTGGGAAGGCAGCTGGCCTCACTTACGTCGGGTGCTCTCCAAGCGGTCTCTGTCCGATGGACTTCAGCAGCGGCTCCGGTCGGATCCCCGACTTTGGTGACGTCTTGGGGCTGGAGTCTGACTCTCCACTCTCCTCGTCCCCCATGGCTTTAATGTAACTCCCGCTTCTCATTCTCCTGCAGGGAATCTCTTCGTCTTTGCCTCCGGTGGGGTACCCTCCCCACTCGTCCTGAGGCACCTAGGAGCAGACAGACACGAAACACCCATCAGCTTTGTCACTGAGAACGGTGGCATCAGCTCCTTTTTGGAAACAAATCCTCTATAATTCCATCAAAATATAGCTCTTTACGGTCATTTATCGGTTAAAGTCAGATGCATAAAAATGCATACCCTAAAAGGATATGAATAAAAACATTGGTTTTTCTTCATTATAAGTGATAGGTAAACATATGGATACAGTGAGAATATGTGAGAAAAGTAAGAGAAGAAGGAAACTTGCAATCTCAGCAGCTGGGAGAAAGCACGGGCTAAAATTTAGTTTACTTCCCTCTGGTATAAGAGGAAACTGAAACTTGAGAAACTGAACAAAGAAAAAAAAGAAGAAAAAAAAGAAAAAAGGGAGAAAATGCCTATCTTATTGTCCATTTATATTTTATTTGCAAGCAAATAAAGGAGGACAGTTTTAACTCTAGAAGCCAAGTTCTATCACACATGCAAATTCTCAGCACTCAGAGTTGCAAAAGGATCTTGTCCAGCCACATCATATGCCAGCTGATATACAACTAAGCACCTGCGCGTGGAATATGTCTGCCTGTTACAGAGCTCAGCACCCGTTCATGTTGTATACCTGTGTGGTACAGAGCTGAGCGCCCGTGCGTGTTGTATACCTGTGTGGTACAGAGCTGAGCGCCCGTGCATGTTGGATACCTGTGTGGTACAGAGCTGAGCGCCCGTGCGTGTTGTATACCTGTGTGGTACAGAGCTGAGCGCCCGTGCGTGTTGGATACCTGCCTGGTGCAGACCTGAGCAACCATGAATGTTATATATCTGTGTGGTGCAGAACTCAGCGCCTGCCTGTGCGTGTTATCTATCTGTGGGGTACAGAGCTGAGCACCTGTGCATGTTATCTATCTGTGGGGTACAGAGCTGAGCACCTGTGCGTGTTATATATCTGTGGGGTACAGAGCTGAGCACCTGTGCGTGTTATATATCTGTGGGGTACAGAGCTGAGCACCTGTGCTGTTATATATCTGTGGGGTACAGAGCTGAGCACCTGTGCGTGTTATATATCTGTGGGGGACAGAGCTGAGCACCTGTGCGTGTTATACGTCTGCCTGGTACAGAGCTGAGCACCCATGGATGTTATATATCTGTGTGGTATAGAACTCAGCACCCGTTCATGTTATCTATCTGTGTGGTACACAGTTGAGCAAGTTATATGCCCGCCTGGTGCAGACTTGAGCAATCATGAATGCTGTATATCTGTGTGGTATAGAACTCAGCACCCGTTCATGTTATATATCTGCATGGTACCAAACTGAGCAACTATGCATGTTACACATCTGCCTGGCACAGAGGTGAGCACCTATGCCATTATATATCTGCCTGGCACAGAACTGGGCCCATGTACATGCTATACACCTGCCTTGCACAGAGCTGAGAGCCCACATGTATAATATGTCCACCTGGTTCAGAGCTGGGCATGTGCACGTTACATGCCTGCCTGGCACACCATCGGGCACCGGCACTATATGCTCTGCCTTGTTCGGAGCTGGATGGGTGTGCATATTTTATCCTGCCAGGCGTGGGGTTGAGCAGCCCCCTGTGCTGTGTATCTGACTGGCCCAGAACCGAACCCGCGTGCATTTTATATCTCACCCACAACGGCCCCACAGGCTGCCTGCTGTGTGTTTGTGTTAAGTGTCTCTCTGAGGGGAGGGTAAGCCATGAAGACGACAACGCGGGCCAATATTCTGTTTCCATCCACCATCTGTGAAACTGGAAACCCAATGCGGTAATGAGCAAAACGTCACGGAACTGGAACACAGTGGTTTGCGCCGCGGGAGCTGCTCCATGAGGCTCAGGACATGGTTTCTTTTCCCCACGGTTCATTAGCTTTGAACAGCTCCCCAGAGGCTCTGGATAAAGTTCACTCCATAGGTCAAATTCACATTACAAAAGCAAAAGAACACAGCATGCAATCGCTGAGCGTAGAGAACTCCAAAGCTTTCCATAGCAACCGGATCATCACCCACCGTCGGTAGTCAGGGAACTAACGTAGTGTGTTCTTCATGCTGGAGAAGAGAATCTCCCCAAATGCTGTTTACAGAGAAAGAAAATAAAAAATTTCCATATTTAAAAAGTCTTCAGACAGGGTATTTTTTTTCCCCTGCTGTAAAATATTTAGATACTGAGGTATATTCTTTATATCATCGTAAAAGGAACCTGCTATCTTTCCAGTGTCCATATTGCCTGTGAGTCGATCGATAGCACGACCAGCAGGAATCTGCGTGGCTGGTGGTAAAGGCAGGTCTTTTGGCTGAAGGCCCCTTTATTCATTTCTAAATGCCGTGCCACACCAGCGCTCTGGCAGATCTGACATCTTCCACATTGCAGCCCAGGACAGGAGCCAAGGCAGAGGGAAAGCCGTGTTCATTTCTGTCACTCACATATCCTGGACTTCCAGCCTGGACGAGCAGGAGCTCCCCTTACCATGGACCCCGTGTGGCAAGGGATCCTGAACACCACACAGTCCCGCAGTAACAAGGCACAGACACCCAAACAACACACAGTCCCGCGGTAACAAGGGGCAGACAACTGAACAACACACAGTCCCGCAGTAACAAGGGGCAGACACCCAAACAACACAAAGTCCCAAGGTAACAAGGCACAGACGCCTGAACAACACAAAGTCCCAAGGTAAAAAGGTGCAGACACCCGAACAACACAGTCTCGCAGTAACAAGGCGCAGACACCCGAACAACACACAGTCCCACAGTAACAAGGCGCAGACACCCGAACAACACAAAGTCCTGCAGCAACAAGGCGCAGGCACCCGAACAACACAAAGTCCCACAGTAACAAGGCGCAGACACCCGAACGACACACAGTCCCGCAGCAACAAGGCTCAGACACCCGAACAACACACAGTCCCGCAGTAACAAGGCACAGACACCCGAACAACACACAGTCCTGCAGCAACAAGGCGCAGGCACCCGAACAACACAAAGTCCCGCAGCAACAAGGCGCAGACACCCGAACAACACACAGACCCGCAGCAGCAAGGCGCAGACACCCGAACAACACACAGACCCGCAGCAGCAAGGCGCAGACACCCGAACACCACACAGTCCCGCAGCAACAAGGCACAGGCACCCGAACAACACACAGTCTCGCAGTAACAAGGCGCAGACACCCGAACAACACACAGTCCCACAGTAACAAGGCGCAGACACCCGAAC